ATCAATAAAGATCCTATTACAACTTCATCAGTATTACTGTAAATTTCCTTTCTTAATTCATGCTTCCTTTGGTCTGCAAGCTCATCCAAGATTACATTGCATCCTCCTAGATGCAGATTACTTCTGCTATCCAATAAAATTATATCCAAAATATTTGCCTCACTAGCAAATTTTCTCTCAATCTCAAAACTGAACAACTCATTCCAAAATACGCACTTCTTATCATGTTGATACCTTTTCCATTGAGTCTCAATTACTTGATCCTGGCATTCCAAGTGAACCTTATATCCCACCTCCAAATTCATTTCTTTTTGTAAATCTAAACTGACTACTTGAATCATTAACTTGCTTTCCTCTTGGTCATATTTACTTGCAACATTCTCATACCTCCTCAAATTATTTTCAGCTTGCTGTCTAAGTTGTTCCAAAGCTTCAAACTCCCTAAAACAAGTGTCCAACATTGTCTGAAGTTCCCATCTTCTTTTCAAATAGTTATCTTTAATTTGCTTTCCACTACATTTATCTATATGTGTTGGCTTTATAGATAAAAATACGTTCTTCATCACATCTCTATTAAATCTTATATTTGAAGTCTTTATTCTCTCCAAAACTTCCTCTAAGCTATAATACTCGCAATCCTTTATACCCATTATAGCAAAATACTCTCCTAAATCCCTATTCATTTATTATTACTCTAGTTAAAACCTTATTCAGAGCCACTTTGGTCTCCTTAAACTCCCACACACACTTACCTCTTAATCTGTTGAACAAAGGCCTCTCTATTCCTCTGCATTAAAAGAGGTGTTTCTGAAAATATTGGAACTTCCATTTTTCAATATTTTTCCATCAATTTCCGCTATTGTTCCTTTTTTTCCTTGCGTTATCTATTTATAGGTTTTGGCGGGAAATGCCCAACACATTGCCAGTTTTATTTTCAACTTTCTACTTATATTAACAAATTTTATCTATCTTAATTTTAAATTGAATCAGATTATTCTAACCATCGAAGTCTGAAAATCAGAACTTAACTATGTAGAATTTCTATTTTTACTCCTTAATAAACCCCTTCTTTTCGAGCGAATTAATTATCCTAATTCTTTTCTCTTTTCATGTAATGCACACACATTATAAACTGTCTGTCACTACTACAAAAATTTCTTATCCTCGCAAAATTATATTGTCCACATGCAAACACGTCATCTATTTACTTGTAAATCGTTTGCATGCATGCGAAAATTACGTGTGAAATCACTATTAAAGAAAGTAAAGAAGTATTAAAATTTAATAAAAATAATAATAAAGGATTATACTAGTAGACAGGGGTTTGTAGTTGTCTAATATTTGACTCAAAAATGTTTCTAATGCAAGACCAAGTAAAGTTGCAGTGCAGTGAAATATTTAAGTCTTGTGTATCTTGAGTATCTACCTTCATTTGAGTTGAAATGTAGTATACTTTTTCTGAGTTTGAGTAATTTATGATCATTTTACACAAAAGAGGAAGATCTATGGAATTCTGAGAGTCTTCAACTATACAAAATGCGAAAAGCTCAAAGGATCTCTCGTCTACTTCCCCTGAAGCAATACAAATTATTCCTTCTGTAGCTAAGTTGTCCTCAAAGAGACCCATAAATTCAAAATCTTTAAAATTAATATCTTCAATTTCCTCTCGAATCTCTAAACTATCGTTAATTTTGTTCCAAAGTCTCTCAAATTCATCAGGTTCCACAAAAACTGATTCTCTTAGCTTCAAATATGTTGAATTTTGTGACCCTTTCAAACTATTATCGTTTATTATTACTTTCCTATTTTCAATATTATTAAAATCTTCTGATCCTCTTTCTGTCTCATCATTCTGGCAATGTCCAAAAAAATCAAATTTTATTCCCATTTCTTTATACTCCTCAGATATTATAGAACAAGTATTAAACTTTTGAAATAGATCTTCATTCTTCCATCTATAAAAGTAATCTTTGAGAATAGAAACTGAAGGTGCCAAGTTTTTATCAGTTTCATAATATATTGAATCATTCAAAATTATGTTTCTTGCAATTTTGTAGTCAAACTGTAGTAATCTATAGTAAAATAAAGCCAAGTCCTTAACATCTGGATAGTCCAATCTTTCTATTGAAAAGGCTAACAGTCTTCCTAATACTGGTCTTACATCTTCAGGAGAATCAAACAAAAGTCTGCAACAACTTGTAATAACAACACTAAATAAATTAGATGGTCTATTTACCAAGCTTTCTATTTCACTTGAATTCTTCTCAAAAATATCAAGTAAATTTGTTACAACATAATCTAAAACCTCTCCTTTGTCACAGTATACATAATCTGGGAATTTTGCCATAATCCACAAAAATGAACAAATACCACCCGTGCTAAAGCTAAGCTTCTCCAAAAGTATCATATAGAAATATCTTCCAACGACTTCTTCTATTACCCAAGGAAAAGACTCTGAAACTAATTCAAGCCCCATTAAAACAGGGCTAAGAACTTTTTCTTTTTCTGATTCCATTAAATCCATTGAAAAGTTTATATAGCACTTAACTATGTTGTCATTTTCAAGTGTCTCATGGAGATTAAAGTTATTTGAATCATTATCAACTTTGATCTGAATATATTTTATTATTAAAATCGACATTAAATAGATAGATTTATGTATTAGACAAGAATTCCCAAGCTCATAGGAATAATGGTAAAGTTCTTCTAATATATGTCCAATATTATCTTCAGAAGTCAAAAAAGGAATTAGATCCAGCTTAATATCTTGGATATAAAAAGGATCTCCATTTCTTAACATAAGTAATTTATATTCATCATAATAAAAAGATAATATTGAAGATGAAGAATAAAAGCATTTGTTTTCTCCTATAAATACTCCATCTTTGGAAAAATTTGAAAAATATGAAAACAAAAGTCTTAAATGTGAGTAAACTATTACTGAGATTTCTGGTATAGAAGTGGATGCATGAGTAAAAAGTGGACCCTTAATTCTCTGTATTACTTGAGAAAATAACTTTGGATAAGGTTTTGTCAAAGAGATGAAAATTTGAATGCTTGTTAATAATACATTAACACTTGAATGTCGAATTACTTCTTCTAGAGCATTTAATATATGAAAAACATCAGAAGAGGGTACCTGCTCATTAGAAGTGGTATCTGAGGAATATGATTGATCCTGTTGAAGGATATTTGAAAGATTTTGAAAGACGAGTTGTAAGATATGATATTGACTCCATTCATTAAAAGATTTAATATTGTTAAGAATTTTGATAATAAATTGCTTAATAAAAGTTGCTCCTCCTATTTCTTTATTAATTTCATTTAATACATAAACTAAGTTAGTAATTGTATTGGGATCTAATTCAGTATTTAACATAGAAATCAAAATGTCCAATATATTAGTATTGAAGAAGTCTTCTTTAGAATATTGAAAGAACTTAAGACATCCCATTACAGCAGTTTTTCTGACATATCCGACAGGATCGCTTAATCCATTTTTCAGAATAGGCTCAATATATTCAATAGCAATAGGGATCTTAAGCGATGAGAAGCTTCTTAACGCAAGACTTCTAATAACAGGATCTTCATCTTCACTATCTTTTCTTAAAGTATTTACCATCAAAAGAGCAAGCTCTGAATTTCTTTCAGCATAATGAGTAAGATATAGATATATGATTTTCTTCTCAACTTGGTCATGCGTAGCACTAGCAAGAATCATTAGACTATAAAGAGAAGAGACATCTACACCTAGGGTCATTAGTGCAATAGCTTTTTGAAAAAGCTCAATCCTCTTTTCTCTATCCTTAATCAGAGTAATATCTTGAAGTTTCTCATACAAGTCATTAACTTCTCCTCTTCTGTGGTCGACAAATAGTTCGTTCCCATTTTGGTTTTCAATATTTTCCTCAGCTGCAACTGCTGTATCTCCATAGTTAATAGAAACAACTCCCTTTCGCATTTATTCGTTGTGAAATATTTTGGGTATTTTTTGATTTCCCACAAATTTACACAAATTTTTTATTAAAGCCCTTTGCTTTCGCATACCGGTGCTTAAAAATGCCGGTATAGGATTTTTAGAAATTCAAAAAAATTACGTGTACAGCGCCGGTATATAGTGGAAAAAAGGGAATAAAATAAAATTATATTAAATTCTAAGCGTTATATTAAGAAGCTTAAATTGATGTAAATTTTTCAATTTTTAAAATTTGATGATCAAATGAGAATGATTAGAAATGCATTTTGCAAGATATTAACCTTTAGATTCTTATATAGTTGACTCAAATGAGGAAGCTCCTCAGAAATAGGTGATATGGGTTCTTTTTTATCTTTTAGACTCAAATAGTTAATTTACATAATAATGAGTAAATTATTTGGTAAATTTTTATAAAGTTACAGAAGTAGGCTTCATTAAAGATCGTTCACTAGATAGGAAACAAAAGAATAGAATTCCCAGGAAAACGTGAACACACATCCAAATCATTATAAAAAATGTAACAGGATTTGACAAAAAATATTCAGATACAGTTTTTGATGTATATGTGTCAGGATCTATCGTCAACTTTCTTTTTTCACTCTGAGCAATAACTTTGTGTATCATTGATAGTAGTATGTAAAAATAGTTAATCCGAGATATATTATTCCTTAAAAAATATCTGTAATTCGAATTAATCTTCATCTTCCTTTTGTTCTTTAAGTGATCACTTTAGTCAATTCAAAAGTTTTATTTTAAACTCTAAAGGTACCAATAGATATTTATTACAATTTGTGTAAAAAAACTATTTGGCGCCAATATTTAAAAATAAAATATTGCATGAAAGTTATGTTTTCAGGGTTGGACTTAAGCAAGTATGAAAGAGATAAAATATTAAACATAAAATTTAATTAATTATAATTAGTTGGCTAGTTCCTTCCATTCTTTTTTAAAATGATAGACTAAATATAATGGTAAAAAATGAGATTGATTGATTAAATTGTATTTTTAAAAACAAAAAAATAAACGTCGACCACAGGATTCGAACCTGTGCGCGGAGACCGCACTTGATTTCTAGTCAAGCCCCTTAACCACTCGGGCAGATCGACTCGTCACGGGTCCCCGGGATAATGAAGATTATAACTTAATAGTTTAGCTTAGTATGTCCATGAAAGTTCTTAGCTTGGACCAAACGAGGGTTCTTTTTGAATTAGGAACATAAAAGCAGGCCTCGTTTCTGGTAGTATCAAAGATGGCAAAAGAAAAGAAGCGTGTCAATGCCCAAAAAATGAGAGAGATGAGCATAAATACAAAGATTGATCTTGAAAAGTTGCTTCCTTCGTGCATGGAAACTTGTATTTGATATCTTGCAGCTTCAAATTCTCTGTTTAAATCGATGCTTTGATCTATAGTTAGTGGAGTGGGGCTAGAGTCGCCACTAAAAAAAAATGTACTTTTATATGAATTATTTAGAGTTGCTTTGTCGACCTCTTTATGCTGATTCTTTTTAGGATTTTTATTTGGCGAAGTATCTTTCTTTTGAGTAACTTCTTCACTAAATAAAGTATCACCATTTACCTGTGATGAAAGAGCTGCAGCATATTTCTCAACAATTGATTTAAATTTGGATGGGATGCTCACTTTTGAAGGTAGTTGTATGGAAGGTCTATAATTATCATAATTTGTAATATATTCAGAATTAAAATCAATATTAATAGGTTCTTCTAAAGAAACCAAATCATCGTTTTTTTCTTTTTCATTGTTCTTGCCTTTAATATTAGATTCGAGTTGGATGAGTGAGAATGGCAAAAGTTTAAAATAACTATGCAAGTTCTGGCGATTACCAATGATCTTTTGCATTAATGGTGAAATATTGTTAAACATAATAGGCTTTATCATCTCTCTGTAATCTTGGATTGTATAAATATTAGGAATATTCTCAGATCTTGTGGAAATATGATTACTTAATTGAATGAGCGATAATGCCTCTACCTGATATAATGACCTGTCTTTAATATTAATTGCTTCCATTTTAGAGATAGATGACTTAAGTTGCTCAACATAAGCTTCTCCCTTATATAAAGGTGATTTTGGATCCATTCTAACTTCATTGCACATAGGACATAACAGAGGCATTGGACCTCCAATAATAATGTCGAGATTTTCACCAATTGTAGGATCTTCAACAATTTCTGTTGGAAAATGTTTAAAGTTTTTTCTCAAACTACACTCTAAATGCCTTCCAAAAATTCGATGGTCTTTTGCACATTTATTAACCCATATCCTGCAATTCTGTACTTTATTCCTCTCAAATCTAACTAATCTTCTATAACAAGCTCCACTGGTTGTGATATATATAAATGGGATAGCCAAAAGTAGAATAAAAAACAAATTCAAGATTCTGATAATTATTGGTAATATCTTGCAACAAAAACCCAATACTCTTGTTCTTTTCGATGGGGAGAAAAAGTAGCTTCTAGGAATTCTGCTGAAAAATTTGAAACTGAATCCCAATATAAATGATAAGAATGAAATTGTCAAGCTTATTATTGATAAAGAATAAACTGAGTATATTAATAATATGTAAGATCCCGGTATTGGTATCAAATTAAACATTGGAGTAATCCCACAATGGGTGAATGAACTCCCTGGATCGTTTGGATCATTCACAAAATGATCATAGTTGTTGTTGTCTGGGTTTGAGTTCGCTATCAATCTCACAAAAACGAGCGCTCCTGCTCCATAGATTAAATACAGTAATGACTGGAGATGATGCCATTCCTTTAATCTCCAGCTCTGTCTGCCTTGCTTAAAGTCCTCCACCCTTGTCTTAAAGCTCTTTTTAATTCTTTCAAAAATTTCATTACTTTTCATATTATCTCAACATTTATGTTGTATTTAATAGTTTTTCCTTTAGTTGCAATATTTTTGATTTCTTGACATTTTGCGGTCACCCTTTGCACACTTAACAAACACCAGTTTTGGGTGTTTTATAAATTTCCTCTGTATTATTTATAAAAAAATTCTTAATTTAATAATACAAAAAATATTTAGGTCTAATATTACTATATTGCAATATTTGTTGTAATCCCGCCATTTGAATTTACCTTTATCTCTTTAACTTGTAAACCTTGAAATAAAATTAATAAATAGTGAAATAAAAGCTGACTCTCCTACTTGTAAAAAGCCAATACTGCTTTAGTTTTCACCTTCATCGCAAAATAAACTTTCAAACTGCTATAATCTCTCCTTCTTTCTTACATTTCCGAGATTAATTTCAAACTACAAACACAAAAATTAAAAACATGAGCATATAGAATAAAATTTTTTCCACATAAAATTATTACACGTAATCACTACACCGGTACTAAACTTACATGCAAGCATTGCACATGTAGTCACTGAAAAACAAATGCATGCAATTAGTCGAGATAAAAATTAATTAATACAAAGCTTTCATCACTAAGAAAAAAACAATAAGTAATCTAGACCCAATTAAAGAATAAAATTGTTTAGCTGATTCCTTTATTTAAAAATCACAAACAAAAGAACGTTAAGCAAGAATCATCTCGACCATAATTGATTAAATAGCCGAGAAAGTACTAAGGAGAAAACCAATAAGAATAAAGCTGTAAGCATGAAATTTAAATTTTTAATAAACCAATAATTAGCTGTAATATCCTTTCATTTCCCTTCCATCCAAAAATCTCCATCTCTTGTACTTGAACCAAGTAAGCTAGGATGAAACAGGTTCCATGAATTATCTGTGCAATCGATCTTTAAGTTAATATCTGACCTATTGTACAAATTAATATCTCTTAGTCCCATCTTGTCATTATTAGGAACATTATCATTAATAAAATCAAACCTATAATCGTCAAAATAGTTGTTTGATAAGAAAAGTTGAGAATTAGGAGTAACTTTAACTTCATTTTGACATCTTATTGCATCTTGGTGAGATTTAGAAGGAATAGAATTTGAATTCAAGTCTGTAACAAAGTTACATTGACTATTGCCTGCATTTGAATCTCTATTTTGTTGAGTATTGTAAATCCCTGTGATTCCAAAAGCAGGATTCGATAAACTCCAATCTGAATCATTGTTATTCATGGTATCTATTAACTTTTCTGGAGAGTCTGATAATGAAAGCAATTGTAAATGCATTAAATAAGACATTTGTTCGACATTTGCCACATTTCCATAATCATCTATACTACATAATGGCTCTTGAACCATCTTATTCTTTTCATAATCGATTAGTCTATTACTTAATAAATTCTTATTTCTATCAAAGTAGCCATTCCATGCAAATCTTCCAAAATCATAGTTTGGTAAAAGTGACGAAGGATCTACATTGTCATTTAATCCTTCATTACATGGAAAATTTAAGCCTATTGCATTATAAGGAGGCGGAGGAATATTCACATTATCTCTGGCATGAGCAACTTCGTCTCCATCTATCACCTTAGGAAACGCATTTCTTGGATTTGGAGAAGCACCTCTAGCTCTATCAACTTCTCTTCTCTGAAAATCTCTATTGACAGTTTTACGAGCATCATTCTTAAAACCTGTTGTAGCAATGTGATTTTGAGAATGTAAAGGAGTCTCACACCCTGTTGACGGTGTAACAGGAGATTCATTCGTATTGTTTATAGGAGTTAACTCTCCCTTTAATAATTCGTTATTTGTAAATTGTCTATTTTGATTACTGGAATTGGACTTATGATTAAAACCACTTCCCCTACTACCCTTTTTAGGTGAGTTATTTGTACTTGATACAGATGTTTGAGATTTATTCCTTAAAGAATATTTACTATTTTGGCTCTTTGCTTGATCTGTTACAGGTGCTAGGTTTGAAGTGGCCATATTCGAATGTAAAGGAGAATTCGATGGAGATATCGGGGAAGTTGTAACGTTATTTACTAAAGCCTCCTTATTCCTTATAATTATAGAGTCGTTCAAATCTTCGGATAAATCAATTTCGTTGAATTTATTACAATCATGGACAAGTCTCTGACGTTCAATTACTTCCGGCCCTTGTACCGGGTCAAATTCTATAGTCTCTGGATTTCTTAATTCATCTAGGCCATGAGCAAATGGACAATAATGTTTCGTACATAATGGATATTCGCGGCATAATTGAGTCTTATATACTAAAACATGATACATTTGCTCCTCTTTTGTATGAGAAAACATACACATTCTGCCTCTTTGGCAATAGTTCTTAACACGCATCTTCTTATTCTCATTCTGAAAAACCACATTAGGACATAAGTTCGGTCTGTATGCATATTCGTAAGGATTCCTACGATGCCAGGAAAGACAATGTGAAAAAGGACATCTCTCATCAAGCTCGCAAACTCCATGTAAAGCCTTTCTCTCACATATTCTTGTCCTGAAACGTGAAAGCTCAGTCATACTCATATTCTGGCTCAAAGGCATTTTTTCAATACTATAAATATTAACAATACTATTCAATATATTAAAACAATAAACTTAGATATTCTGTTGCTGAAACTCAATTGTTGAAAATATAAATTTCGTTTCTCTGAAGAAAGTCTTTGGTCAAAGAACATAACATTACACTTGAAACTGTTATATTTAAGCGTTAAGTAGTGAACTCTTACTCCTCGTCTCAAATTCGTCGGAAAAAATTAAATCGACCTTTTATAACCTGGAGGTTAAACAACAGGATTATTTTTCGACCGACGATTTTATGTTATGTCTCATTAAAATGTCAGATAATAACACGTATAGTGCGACCTAGGCAGTTATACTGGGTCCATAGTTATCCTGTATCGTCCATTATAGTCTAATTATACATATCCAAGATTGGAGAGACGCGGGAACTTATGTGACGTATTATTTCTTGTGATTTTGAGGAACATATCAGCGTTTGTCTATTGTTGGATACCGAATAATACGTATTAATTTGTGTACACTTTATTTGTTTAAATGAGGTAATTTACCATTTTGGTGTGAAAATAATTTTTTTAACAAAAGATATCGCTCTTGGATTATTCGAAAATATACTAGCGGTTGGCGCCAAAAAGATTTATTCAAAGTATGTGAATAATCTAGTAAAAGAGAAAAACAATAATAATAGTGA